CATTTTCAATTTGTTATTCGATCATTAATCATAATCCGTCACAATAAATTAGTATCAGAGTCTGGTCGTTTCGATCAAGGTTTTGTTTATTTCCGTTCTGCTAGGGTTTCGTGAGTCGATCAACAATGTTTGCATTCAACGCAAACAAGAACATCATTTGTCAACAATGTTGACAAATTCACCGGGAGAACTAAAATTTGGCTTATGGCATATCAAGATACGATCTTTGCTGAAATAGTAGGGTTTGTGGGCACCGCTATCTGAAAAACCGAGAGGTGCAAACGTAAATGATGAAGAGTGTGATACCGCAAAGGAGAAGACCCATTTGACAATCATGTTTGTGTCTGCCCGATGATGTAATCGTTAAGGTTACCGATCAGAAAACTGTTGTTGGCCTACGGAAGAAGTTAAAGAGTTTGTACATGACAAAATCTCTAATCGATAAGTTGCTTTTGAAGCAACATTTGTTCGGGCTACGAATGCAAGAAGGAACTGCTGATAATCCTGTTGATATATTCACCAAATCGGTCCCTCATAGCAAGTTTCAACATCGTTTGAACTTGCTAAATGTCACAAGCTGGTAGTTGACCGATAAGGGGCAAATTTGAGGTAGAATTGAGGAGATTGTTCTTCTGGCGTTGTAATGATGCATCTTGAAAATGGGATTCAAGTCAAGGTAGAGATTTGTTGACATGCCTTGTATCTAATTTTCCATTTTGTTGAGTTTTCATGGGGGTCTCGCAATTGGGCTTTGGAGTTGGTATTGGGTTGAGTCCGTCTAATATATTCTCTTGGTTTATTTAAATAGACTTAGAGATACGAAATCAGTAATCTGTAACCTAGCCGTCCTCAATAAATTTGTAATCCGTTTCTGCCCGTGGATGTCCATCAACACGTTTGTAAACCACGTAAATCTATATCTTCTTTACGTTTTTTGTTTGTTATTCGATCATTAACCCTAATCCGTCACAACAGTCAACTTAATGAAACAAGTGTGGTTGTAGAGACAGCATATGTGGATCCCAATACAAGACTTGAGCAAACAGACGATTTATGCTTTCCACCCTTCTCGTGGCTGATATCGATTTTTTCTTAGACATGTATGTTCCAACTTCAACCAATACGTTAAAGATGTAAGATTGAATGATACGTATTGGAGGGCAGGGGCATCTATTGATCCATTGGAGTTTAATGAAACAATGGCGGCCATTCAACTTTTAAATCAAGCATCTTATGATTGGCTTATTAATATTGACAAGAGCAAATGGGTCATTGCATATGAGGAAGGGTGGCGACATGGTATATTAACAACAAATCTGACAGAATGCATTAATGGTGTATTAAAAAGAGCACGATGACTACAGATCACTGCGGTAGTACAGTTGACATATGATCGAGTGATTTTATTATTTGTTAAGCGGTTGCATGATGCTCAAGATAAACAAGAATCTGACTATGAATGGTCATCATGGACATGAACAAGATATATATACTCAGAGCAAAAGAGTCGGAAAAATACAACAATGGTAATAAATGAGGATGGATGTGATGCAAAAGTATTTACTCCAATATGTTTAATCGAGACCATGCCCAAATCTAGAAAATGTATAATACTTAAACAACAAAATAGTATTATTAAATAAATTTAAGATGTCAATTTGTAAAAATATACTTGTAACAATGTGAGAGGTCACTAAGTTTTTTTTTTTACTCCAATAACTACTAAACAAATATTATGATATAGACATGCAAGACAAGACAAGAGATTCCCTAACTATACTTTTCAGAAATGTCAAGTTTTTGCATATATGACAAGTAAATCAACTGACCCTACTACCATCTGAATTTGGAAATATGCTACACATAATTATCAGTAGCATGAATCCATGTGCCCAACAATCTACTTTTTCTTTAGGACTATCATTATCAATTTGAAACTCATTAGTCTTCTAATGATCTTCTAAAGTAGATTGCAAAATTCACGGTCCATGCTTGAAATATTCTGGGATAAGAGAAAATTTTAACAAATTCATACAAATCTTTGAAGAGTTCTCTATGGTCTATCGAGATGTGGCATCACTGTTAATAGTTTACTATCGATGGGTAACTGATATATCATTAAAACATCTTCTAATGTAATTGTTACCTCAGCGAATGTGAAATGGAATGTATGTGTTTCAGAACTCCATCGCTCAACTAATGTTGTCAAAAGACCAAGATCATTCCTAACTTGTCCAACCATATATAGTCCATAAAATCAAATATGATTTAATATCTTAAGGACCCTAGGATGGCATAAATTAAATCATCGGAGCAGAGCTTGATGCGGTTGAATGATTTGCAGTTTGTTGAGGGGTGAACAGTGCAGCAGTACTCTTAAAGTTGTCGTCTTTTTCATAGAGTTGACTTTGCTCTGTAATTTTTGGAGGAGTGTCTTCAGAGAACGACAATGCTCTTTTGGCCATATTTTTGTTGTCATTTCATCATTCGTTAAAACGCTTGAGGTTTTTGATGTGGTGGATGCAACGACTCCTTTGGTGGCGGCGGCTTGAACAACAGTTTTCGACGCAATCGTCTTGATGTTGTAAGAAGCCATTGGTTGTTGAACTTCAGTGGAAAGAGAGATAAAAGGTAGAGAGGTCCCACTAGGCGTGCCAAAATTCTATCAACAAAAAATTGTGTTATTTTTAATAAACACAAAAATTTGTACAAATTATATTTAATTTGGATTTAAAGCGGGACTTATTCTCTAAATGGGTCGTTTGATTCTCCTTCCGGGTCGATTTGTTTTCCAACTTGATTTTCGATGGCTTCTTTAATCCGAAGAGATTTGATCTTCGGTTTGATTTTGCCTGACTTTGGAGGGCTTTGGTCTCCGTGCGGGCGATTTGATCGTCGGCTTTGGATTTGATGTCCTCTTTGGATGATCCGAGGCTTTGATCTTTGGTTTGGCTTTGGAGAGTTTTGCTCTCCGTGTGGACGATTTGATTATCGGTTTTGGATTTGATGTCTTCTTTGGACGATCCACAACTTTTATCTTTTGTTTGCCTTTTCCTCATTTTAGAGAGCTTCAGTCTCTGTGTAGGCGATTTGATCGTTGGCTTTGGATTTGATGTCTTCTTTGGACAATCCGTGACTTTGATCTTTGATTTGGTTTTTTTTCCTTTTGGAGATTTTCGGTCTCCGTGTGAGCGATTTGATCATCAACTTTAGATTTGATGTCTTCTTTGGACGATCCGCAGCTTTGATCTTTGGTTTGCATTTTCCGCCTTTTGGAGAGCTTCGATCTTTGTGTGAACGATTTGATCGTTGGCTTTGGATCTGATGTCTTCTTTGGATGATCCGCTGCTTTGATCTTTGGTTTGACTTTCCCGCCTTTTGGAGAGCTTCGGTCTCCGTGTGGGCGATTTGATCGTCGGCTTTGGATTTGATTTCTTCTTTGGACGATCCGCACCTTTGATCTTTGGTTTGTCTTTTCCGTCTTTTGGAGAGGTTCGGTCTCCGTGTGAGCAATTTGATCGTTGACTTTAGATTTGATATGTTCTTTGGATGATCCGTGGCTTTGATCTTTACTTTGTCTTTGCCGCTTTTGGAGGAATTTGGTCTCCGTGTGGGTGATTTGATCATCGGCTTTGGATTTGATGTCTTCTTTGGACGATCCGCAGCTTTGATTTTTGCTTTGTCTTTTCCGCATTTTGGAGAGTTTTGGTCTCTGTGTGGGCTATTTGATCGTCGGTTTTGGATTTGATGTCTTCTTTGAACGATCCGCAACTTTGATCTTTAGTTCGTCTTTTCCACCTTTTGGAGAGCTTCGGTCTCCGTGTGGGCGATTTGATCGTTGGCTTTGGATTTGATGTCTTCTTTTGACGATCCGCGGCTTTGATCTTTGAGAAGGTGAATTTGGTGCTCCATAACACTTTTGGTGGCGTGTCCCTTTGACTTTTGGATCGAATAGCCGAGTTGATGCTTTGTTGAAGAACATGATGACTATCTTTAAGCTTTGAGAGGAACTTTGGAGACATTCCCTTGGCTTTGATGAATTCCTCAACGGCTTTGGGAGCTTTGATCCTTCCTTCGGCTTGAACATACGACGAAGAACGTTAACTCCATCGATTCGTCAACCAATATAGGATCATTTGTCCAAATCAGTGACTTTCGACGAAGAACGCTTCGAAGGACACGATGAACATGAAGAACAATATAGAGAGAGTCTAGAGACTTACCCATTTACTTAAATCCTCGATGTAACTTCGGTGTTTCAAATGAATTGACCATGGCTCCTATTTATAGGGGAGGTATGGCCTCGACTTCCTTTTTTAATGGTGCCACGTGGCACGTTCTGATTAGCCAATAGAAAGATTTTATAATCTTTCTTTTTCCATCGGATATTGTTTTTCATTCTTGACGGATTTGATTGTGCATCTTCCTTTCTCGCCAAGATCTTTATATCAATGCCTTTTTTGGAAGATATTAATTTATATACTTCTTTTATTGACAAGATTAATTTATTTTGCTGCCAAAATTATTATAGCTCTATTTATGCACGTAATATTTGTACGATATCTTTAATTTTAAGCAGATTTTTGCATTAATAGTTGATTTTTATTGCACAAAAATTAACATATGTGCATAATTAAATATCATATATTTATTTTATTAAAATTTTATTTTCTTCCAAAATAAATAATATTTAATTTAATTTAAGCATCTAATTTTTAATGCCTATATGTACATTAAAGGTATGTTTCTTTAACAAAAAATTTTCAAAATCTTACTATTTAAATTATGCATTTTTTGAAAAAACAAATATTTTTTTCTCTTACAAAAACATCCCATCAAACATTATTTTAGTTAAAAACTCAAACCAATTTTTCATAACTTAACAAAACCAAACACACCCTAAAACAAAACGGACGCACACGCGCTACCCACGAGAAACAATATTATATTCATTTCTCCCCCTTTATTATTTCTAAATATCAGCCACGTATAATATACATACATACATACATATATATATCGAATCCCCATCTCGAAGCTCAACAATTCCTTAAATCAAATTTCCCATTCCCAAAATGCTTGAACCAAACGGCGCCGCCGTGGCGGGGCACCGGAGCGTGGCGCTGATAGTCGGCGTGACCGGCATCGCCGGCAGCGGCCTGGCCGAAACCCTCTCGAACCCCGCCACGTCGGGCGGCCCCTGGAAGGTCTACGGCGTTGCCCGGCGCCCCTTCCCGCCATGGCTAGCCACCCTCAACGTCGACTACGTCCAGTGCGACATCACACGCGCCGACGAGACCCTCCCCAAGCTCTCCCGCCTCCCCGACATAACCCACGTTTTCTACGTGTCCTGGACAGGCTCCGAGGACTGCCACCTCAACACGACGATGCTGAAAAACGTGCTGGATTCGGTCATCCCCAACGCCCCCAATCTGCGCCACGTGGCGCTCCAGACGGGGATCAAGTACTACTGGGGGAACATGGCGGAGATGGACAGCACCAACCAGCCCCACGACTGCCCGTTCTACGAGGACCTGCCGAGGCTGAATCAGGACAATTTTTACTACAATTTGGAGGATTTGGTCAGGGAATCGACGGCTGCCCGGAGAGCTGCCGTGAACTGGTCGGTCCACCGGCCGGCGCTGATCTTCGGGTTCTCGCCGTGCAGCATGATGAACACGGTGGGCACGCTCTGCGTCTACGCCGCCATCTGCAAGCACGAGAAGAAGCCTCTGGTGTACACCGGGACTGAGACGTCGTGGACTTGTTTGTGGGACGCCGTCGACGCCGATTTGCTGGCGGAGCACTTTGTCTGGGCGGCGGAGCATCCCGGCGCCCGGAATCAGGCCTTTAATGTCAGCAATGGCGATGTGTTTAAGTGGAAGCATCTGTGGAAAGTGCTCGCAAATGAATTCGGCCTCCAAGCTGTGGGGTGGGTAATAATATAGTATAAGGCTCTGTTTGTTAAAATTTCTCTCTATTGAAATAATTAGGCACAAGTAATTATAACTCACATATGTTTAAAAAGTCTCACCATTATTATTTAACAATTGCATTTATACTTTATTATGTTTTAAAAAATATTGCACAAAATTTAATTTTTTGGGAGGGGTTGTATGGAATTTTTTTAAATACAAGAGATTTTAAGGCAATTTTTATGAAATTTTGTATAATATTTTTAAAACACAAAGAGTGTCATGTAGTTTTTAAATGCCTGATTATAAATAATTTTTGCAAAAATTTATATTCAAATATATATATTTTTTTAAATCAGAAAAATTATACATGTGTTTGAAAACTTGTATTGTAATCTTTCACTCTTCTAGAAACTATACAAGGTTCACTTTGTATTATAAAAAATATTATAGGGGATTACTTAAAAGTTGTATTTGCCTTTTCAGAAAATATTATATAGAATTTTTTTTAAAAAAATATGAAAATTAATTTGGGTGTGTTTCTTTTTATGGGGTATGAAAAATTTTGGTTTGATAGCATTAAAATAATATATGACGAAATATTTTGTAAAATAAAATAGTGTATTTATTGTTTAAAAAAATAGAATATAAATAGTAGAAAAGTGAGTTTTTTAGTGTAAAAAAACACACATTACATAAGATTATAAATAATATCTTTAAAATATTGTATCAAATACTTATTTTTTTTTGCTTAATTTAATATTTTTAAAGCATTCAAGAATTTTGAAATACTTTCAAAATATATCTTATATTTAACACGATGATCTTATTTAATCATGATACGTTACGGCGGGTAACGGTGAAGTTTAACATAACATAGGTACGAAGGGAAGGAGCCGGTTTTGTTGGAGGAACTTATGAAAGGGAAAGAGGGCGTGTGGGATGAAATCGTAAAGAAGAACGGTTTGGTGGCGACGAAGCTGGACGAGATCGCGGCGTTTTGGCTGGTGGATGTGGTGTTTAGGAACAAGGAGACGCTGTGCAGCATGAACAAGAACAAGGAATTCGGGTTCTTGGGGTTTAGAGATACTACTAAGTCCTTTGTTAAAACTATCGACAAGATGAGGGCTTATAGGTTTATTCCTTGATTAAAAGGGTTGTTTCGATTGGATTTATGAGAAATGTGTTCATTATCGAATGGGGTAATGTGGCTAGTAGTCACAATAATAAAGTCATGTTTGTTGTTTGATCGAACTTGTGACCTTTTTATTTTTTTTTTTGAATGACATGGGAACCCGCAGGTGATCTGAGGCGTCGGGGGTTTGAACCTATGACCTTACGGTCACAAATTCAACCCTACACCACCAGGTCATCCCTTACGGGACAAACTTGTGACCGGTTTTATTTTCATAACCAATGTAATGTTTTGTACTTCCTTTGTCAGGAAAAAATTAAGTGTTTTGCTTGGACATTGAAATTAAAAAGTAATACTCCATCCGTCCCAAAAGTATAGTCTTATTGTGTTGGACACGGGATTTAAAAAATATTGATATTATATTGGTAGTTGGTAAAAAGTAAGGATAAATGATTTTTTTGTTGTTGTGCGTATATTAGTGTAAAAAGTAATAGCAATTGTGTAATAATAATAAAAAAGTAGAAATAATTTTATGGTGATATGGTTATTTATGGAAATGAGATTATTGTTTTGGGAAGGGCAAAAATGGTAAACAAGACTATTGTATTAGGACAGACAAAAATGATAAATAAGACTATTGTATTGGGACGGATGGAGTAATATTTTAATGTTAGAATGAAATAGATTTAAAAAAAAATAAGGTGAAGATATTATAGAAAGTTATTGAAAGAATGATAAAAATAATAATAATAATAATAATAAATTCGTTAAAACAAATATAAAAAAAAATAAAAAATAAAAAAATGGTGGGATAAAATTATTTATTATAAAGGTATTATCTATAAGCTTAGCGTGACTTAAAAAAATAAATAATAATATAATTTTGACTTATAGATTGAGTATAACTTTATTTGTCATGCCATATTTTAACATTTTCTGAGAATTTATATTGTGCAAATATGTATTATTCCTAAAAATAATTCACACAAAATTGTCATTTATATACAAGGCCGGTGCTACGTATGGTCACCTAGGTCAGGCCCAGGCTCCAAATCTTTTGGCCTCTTTAAAGATTTGTTTGTTTATGAATTTAGATGCAAATCTACAATATTCACTTGGGTTTTTAATAAAAATATACTTCTTCTGTCTAACACTAAATTTTTTATTTATTTTTTGCATGTTAATTTTTAAATATTAATTATTATATCAAAATATATTATAATTTAAGAGAAAATAGTAAAAATACTTCTATTAGTGTATTACAATACTATTATTATAATGGGTTGTAGTGAAAAATACGAAAATACTCCTATTAGTATTGTGTAATATAAAAGTAATAACATTTGTGTAATATAGTGTAAGTTGGAAGAGTACTTATTATGTTAGATAGGTAATACAATTACTAAATTTAAAAATAGTAACCTTATTTTAGGATAGAGGAAATATTATATTAAAAATTAATTTAATATCTAAAAATATCACATTAATACATATTTATATTACATTAAAATTTAAAATTTTATTATCCAAAACTTCAAACTCAACTTTCAAATTTATGATCAAATAAACTCGAAACATTAAAAATTTAATAGAATAGCGTTAAATGTGTGATTTAAATTATTCTTTGTTAATTATGCTTTATTAAAAATAGGACTAATTAGGCCAGATAACTAAAAAAAATAAAGATGGATCAATTTCGCCTGGAGTACATCTATTCCTATTTAGTCACAAAAGCCTCCACCTAATTAATTAATTTTTTATTTTATATATTTAAAGAGATTGTAAGATTCAAGAAACAGGCAACCTATCAAATCCGATCGTCTCATTAAATTTTGTTTCGAAATAGTAATTTTTGAATTTTTTATTTTAAATTTGAATTTCTTGGAATCTAAAACAACTAATGATTAAATATAATATTTACAAATACTTCAAGTACTAAAAACAATATTTGTTGATGTAAAATAATACATGCTACAATATTGTCCTTTCTACTTTTGACATCGTTACATCAATTGTCCCTAAAAATTAGTCTGGCAGTGACGTGGGAATTAACTTGTGATCGTAAAGTTATGGATTCAAACCCCGACGTTTATAGGTCTTACTTGCCACACATTTAAGTTCGGCCGGGAGTTTACCTAGAACATACTCGAAGGGTAGCGGAAAATCATTTGGTTGTGGTGCTTTTGTGTCTTTTTTGGACAGAATTTGTTTGTTCATGATAAGTCAAACTTTTGAGGACATTTTGAAAAAGATAAAAAGTTTGCAAGTTTGTTGAGGCACTATTAATTTTTCAAGGATGGATACTCAAATAAGACACAAAACCAATGTGCTGAGTTTTTGTATGTTGTGTGAGACAAGTAATTGAGAGAGTTAAAAACTAGTTTGATTGTAGTGAGAGTTAAAAGATTTTAAGCATCAACCGAAGAAGAAGACGATTAAATCATGAACACACGTACTTTAGCTAGATAGGCAATTTGCTAGTATTTTAATTGCAGTTTAATTTTTAATTTATTGTGAATACATATCCAAAAAGGACCGTAGAAAATAATAGTTGGCGGTCGATCATTGTTGAGTCGTAAAATCCATTGTATATCTAGAGATGTTTCATTGTACGTCTTTTTAATTGAAATTTTCAAATATAAGTTATTGTACGAAATTAGTCACAGTCATAAGTAAGTATTATTTGCACACACACAAAAGCATTATAACAATAGAATAACTACGTATTTTTCAATTTATCCAACAATGCATAATACTAAAAGAACATTAAACAAAAGAAACTCGATTTCCATGCCAAGGTACCATTTCACATTACTTATTCATCTATTACAAATTCGACCATATCTCTATATATAGTTAATCCATCCAATTCAATTCAATTCAATCCAACCATAACAATTGATCATATTCCATCAATAGTTATGGGATACTTTGGCTGTTTATTCGACAGAAACAGCCCCCAATGCTTCTCAAGCTCAGGGCTTTTCTGATTCTCATCAATCAGATCAAATATATATGTCTCAATACCCTTTCCCGCCCTCCTCGGCGTCCCCTTTTTCACAAACTTCACCAAATTCTGATTATAAGTCTTGGCATTCTCCACACTCGTCGCTATCCCTCCATCCGACGGCCATCCCGTCTCCGACACAACCAACCTCAAATCTCCACCGTCCACCTTCTCAAGCGCTGCGTAGAACGCATCCACGATAGCCGTGAACAAATTGTAGTATCGATACTCTCCGTCAACCACCACGGCCGTCGAAGACGTAAAAAGCGCATAATCTAATTTAATATTCACCGGATCGCTTATATAGGCAAAATAGGGATAGACATTGACGAGAAGAGGGGCTCGAGTTAGGGTTAGGAACTTTACTATAGGGGTTATGAATGACGGGACGAACTCTGGCTTGAATTGCCCTGCAGAGGGAGGGTATGAGTTACCTAACACGGCCGTGCTGAGGGCCGTGGAGACTTTAATTTTTTTAGATAGCCCCGCCGCCGTAACGGCGGCTTGGATGTTTTGCATGGCTGGGGCGACGCTAGGGGCGATTGCGGCGTCAGATGGGGTGATTTCGTTCCCAACTGCGATGTATTTGACGTTGAGCTTTTTGTACCTGAGGATGTTGGTTTGAACCCATGACTTTGCAGTGTTGGGGTCGTTGGCAATCGCGGGGATGTCTTGGTTTACGACGCCTATGAGGACCGAAATCTTGCGGTAGCCTTTGGAAAGGGCTTCAAGAATTGAGGGGTTCGGATCGAATATTCGAATGCTTGTGATGTTGTGTTCTTGGCAAAGGGAAAGAACTTCCGGCGGCGGAGGTAAGTTGTCGGCGATGGTGCCGTAGTTTGCTCCGATTCCGGCATCTACATGAAAGTAATTTTCAATTTTATTTTTTTCATAAAAACTATATTTTGCAAATCCGAAATACCCGAACCTGAAAATTTTTAGGTCGAACAGATTCAACTTTTTTATCAGATTTAATTTTGCCACCCCTATTTATTTCAAATACAAAATATATGCACTTTAATATTTGCTCAATTTTATGTTCGAACTCAGATAAATCATAGTAAAAATAATTAGACGCATTGTATAATTTAGGTTAACATAATTCAAATGCAAAACACATGACATGTTCACATGTGCTATTATCAATTTTCATCACAAAAAATAACAACATATATATTCAAATAGAATAATTACTTTTTTTATATTCACAAAAAAAATATATTCTTTACAATTATAACAAACAATTCTTAATTTATATTCTCAAACATTACATTTATTTATAAATATATTATTACTACTTGCATACACAGTTTATCAAAAATTTCATCTCCGTACTCGTATGTTTCCCAAAACACTCGTAATTTTATATAACAATTAATCAATATAATAACATATTCATTAAAATATACATCCAATTCAAATGATCATGAATTTTATAAATATATAAACATATATATATTACTTTATTTCAAAATATATGATATAAGCCAACATTAAAATGTAGAGAGAGAGAGAGAGAGAGAGAAGATAACCTGTGGAGTGTAAGAGAAAGATCGATACTAAGAACACCAGCAGCACTCTAACAATTGTTGCATTATGATTATCTTCGAAAAATGACTGCCCCATGGAGATATACATATACATATATATATATATATTATTCTACCAAAGAATTCACAAACAAATATTATTAGCTTAATAATATCTGTGGTGTTAGGACATGGAATGCACCTGTCTAATTTCCTATTTATACATATGTATATATATATATATGTGTGTGTGTGTGTGTGGAAAAACCTGTAGAATCATTTTACTTCCATACATAAAATCTTGAATTTGATTTCCGTAACTAAAGATTTTGTCATGAAGAGGTTTAATATTTGGTAGAGGCATCATGGGATGTTACAACCTTACATTGAATTTTGTTACTTAAAATAAAGATATGCATGTGAAGTGATTTAGCTAATTATATACAGAAATTAGGTTTCTTAATAAATATTGGAATTAATTATATTATAAGAATAAGAATAATTTTCATTGAAATTTGGTAAATATTTTCCTTATTATCATTGGTATGCTTAATTATTTGTTGGTGAGCTGATAAAGTTTTGTAAAGATTATTGTCTTCTGAAAATTTATTTAGGAATGTCTCGTAATAATTTAATTTAATTTTTCTTTTAGTGTGTATTTTATTTAACTTTAAGACTATATATTGCATGTTACAAGTAGTTGTTCTTTTTGGTGTTTCTTATTTGTCTCTCAATATTTTTTAAAATTTTGGAGAATAATTTTTTATATGATCTAGGTGAGTTTATCATCGTTTTTATTTCGTGTTAATATTTGTAGATGGTTAAATAAAATTGTGTATTTATTTTTATTACCCCTCTATCCCTTAAATTTATGTTTGTTTGACGAGAAAAAATTGATATAATTTATTGAAAATATGGATTGACTTACATTAATGAAAAATAAATAATAATTGTTAGTTATAATATGATTAGCGAAAAACCCATGCTACGAAAATTTATATCCACTTTATTTAAAATAAAATGAATTAATGAATTTATACCTATTTTGTGAGAAATAAGAAAAACTATTGATTTTCTTATCATTATTTTTCTCATGTTACCTTGCGATTTGAAAATATATATATATATATATATACACATAATATATAAAAGAAAATTAATATATACACTAACAAAAAAACACACACACACATATAATATTAAACAATAGAAATAATAAATTAAATCTCACAAAAAAAAAATATTTCAATTTAAATTTAAAATTAAATTAAATTAAACATAATTATTTACCATTCAAATTACATTAAAAATCAAAATAAATTTGCAATGAATTCATACATATCAATAAGAAATGTATTAATTTTTTATCTTTTTGTCGTCATTTTTCTATGTTATGACTGAGATAGCATTTTAGAAAAAAATTCAAATAATATATAAAATAAAAATAGAATAATCAAACCAAAACCAAAATTAGAATATTAAGTAATGTTTGTTATATATAAAATCTCACACAAATTATATATCAATTTAAATTCAATCCTAAGCTAGTTAAAAAAGGGGAAAGAAAAAATACTTACATTTAATATTAAATTAAAAATTAAAATAAATCTGAAAGAAAACCATGCCATAATGAGAAAGAATATAAAATTTTGATCTTTCTTGTACTCCTTTCAACTATCGCTACTCGACAGTTTGAAAATTTTTCAAAAAAACTATATTTTCTTCATTGCAAAAGTAAAATATTAACTAATGCGAATTATAATTCAAGTCTCACAAAATTTAAATTACAATATAAATTCAAACATAAAATAAATTAAAAATAACTATTTATATTCTACATTAAATTAAAAAAAATTAAAATAAAATTAGAAAAATTTAGAAGAAAAAAAATTGATTTTCTTGTCATCATTTATCTCATTTTGTCCGACTCTGAAAAATATAAATATATATATATAATGAAAATTATATATTAAGTAAAACTAAATAATATAAATAAAGCTAATCATATAAAATTATCTTAGTTTAAATTCAAATCAAAATTAAATTAAAAATATTTATTCATAATCTATAGTAATAAATTAATAGTTAAAATAAATTTAGAATAAAATAATACTTCTCCATGACGGGAAATAATAAAGATGAATTCTTGATATTTCTATAATTCTTTTATTTTATATTATTAGTTGCAATTTAAATATATATATATATAATATATGAAATAAAAGAATAAATAACTAAAATCAAATCAAATCAAATATAAAATATTAAATACTACAAATCAGAGTTCTAAATTATACGAATTTACGAGGGTGGGATCCTAAAATATAATATTCAATATTATACTGATTCATTAATAGTCATTGCATTATAAAAGTTAATCTAAAGCCTTATATTAATATTAATTTAGGAGTATAAAAATATTTTACTTAAAAATAATTTATATAATTGTCTTCTTTTTTCGTGCTTCTTTCATAAGTTGCTTCTTTTGTAATTTCAACATAGAACAAAAAAAAAAAAAAAAAAAAAACATAAAACAAAAACATAATCTTTCAACAAAATTTTGAATAAAATCGATAAAAACGAACAAAATCTATTTGTCATTCCAATCTCAATAAATTCCTCAAAAAGCAACGGAGACATCGAATAAATAAAAATTTCAAATATTTCATCTCTTTTGCTCAACAATGTGTTTATTTCACAATTTTTCAAAATCTGTAGAACCACCAAATATCAAAATCTCGTTTGCATCTATTAAAAATTTGAATAATATACATTAGCGATAGTTATTATATCAAAATATATAAATTATTGTTGATTAAAATAAATTAGCATTTTGAATTTAACATTTACGTATGCATAAGAATCATTTCATACTATATTATACAACTCCATACAAAACTCAGTATTCCTTAAAATGTCAGACAATATTTTAATAATCAATAGACAACATATTGTTTGACTTTTTCAGCATCCGATATATACATGATCATTGATTGAATGAAATTAACAAAATTTTATAATTTTTATTATGAGTATGTACATAATAGGAGTTTGTAGTCTGGATTAAGATTAAGAAAAATTTCTGCATTCATTATTATATAAAAATATTTATATTATTGTTAATTAAAAAAATTTAGCACCTCGTTCAATTGAATTTAACATTTGCGTGTGCATGAGAGAGCATTTCATATTATATGATATACTACTTAATACAATTTTCTAAAATGTGTGACAGCATTTTATAATTCAATAGACAACATATTGTTTGATATTTTTCAGCATCTAATATAAACAGGATTAATTGATTGACATGCAATAGAATTAACAAAACCAGATGTTACTTACAATATATAGTGTACGTATGCATATAACGAGGGTTTGCAGTTAGCTTTAAGATGCATAACAATACTCAGATTTTTGTTAATTAAAGTAAATCAATATTTTGTTTAATTGATTTCAGCATTTTTATGTGCATAAAAGAGCATTTTATACCATATTATTTCAGCACATTTTATTCCATATTATTCGGCACGATATCAGTTGTCGACACATACTTTTTCAATACTCTTCTGATCACTATCACTACCCTTCTTCCACCATCGTCACCGCCCTCCGCTCAATCCTCTCATACTACTTGAACGCAAATTACCATTCACCATCGAACCGTGAAGCGCTACCGGTTCATCTTCCATCTTATTTTCTCAATTCGGCACCGCCAGACCATCGCCTTCAACTTCTTGTCCGCCAACGTCGATGATATTATTTTTAAAATACATTTAATCATGTGTTTATAAAGCCCACGAGACTTAAAAACAATTTAAGTGACTCTAAATAAATTAGTAGATAAATTTAAATAAAAAGCAGATAAAAATTTACAGAATAAGAGAATATCTTATAACAACTTGATATATTTTAAATATGTTCACCCAATTTTATATTTTTTTACAATTGTTTATAAATATTATAAATAATACAAAATATATATATATCTAAAATATACTCTATTCACTAACAAAAGAAAAATTGTTACAATTCATATCTAATATAAAAAATTACATTCATCCAAAAACAAAAAATAAAAACACCCTTTTGTTACGCTTTACTTAGATAAGGCAATAAAATAAAGATAAATTAAAAACCCAAACTTACTTGTCCACTATCATTATATTTAAGTCTTTCGTGTTTAAAGAATTGCATTTTTATTTTTATCATTATATTTAACAGTCTTTCGTGTTTAAAGAATTGCAATTTTTTTCTTTTTTATAATGTGAAAACCAGCAATCCCCTGATCTGCAAACTAGACCCGACAATAGAGTCATGCAAACTAGAACCGATAATACAATCACGAATTTACTTCTACACCATCGGATCATACTTTGATGGACTTAAAAATTACTTATTTTTGTTGGCAGTGTGTTGTCATGTTTTTCAAAAATAACTAAATAAATATCTATACCACCAGATCATCCTGAATCGTTATTCTTTTGAGTCAACAATCATATTCAGTCAAGCTCTTTAAAAACTCAAAAAAGTCCAAAACATCAAAACAGATCTAAAACATAACTAAGCAAACCCTTTGCTTTTGGGTAACCTAACAAAATTTTAAGGGCTGCTCAGAAAAATAATTAAAGAACACAAATTCTTTTAAACTGCTAGAAGATAAGATGACTAGAGCAGGTGTAGGCGATAACTATTAAGTACTATTACAAGCTACAGATCATCCCATGGCATTTTAACCAAAAAAACAAGATACGTCTGCATTTCCTCTAACAATCGTTCCGATTTTCACCATGAATATTTAAATATAAACAAAAATAATGTAGAATCGATCACACAAATTCACAACTCAAAAGTGTCACCTGAGTTAATCCCATTTCAATGATCAGCAGACTCATCAGAGAATGCCACATTATTGTTGTCGGCAGAGTCCTCATCATCCTTGATGTATTTCTCCTGCACAGCTGCAACTGTGAATCTCAATTGTCAAGGAAAGTTGTTTCCAGTCATCCAAAGGATAATAAATGGAGTCGAAAGATTTTAAAAATTAAAACTAAAACTAAATAGCAATCAAGGAAAAAGGATATCTGTAGTAATCCCAATCAACAGGGCGGACAGCAATTTTGCTGAATTCTACAGCACTTGCTTCAATGCCCGCAAATATATAACCGTTGCTCTTGTCGATCAGTTTGACTAGATTTCCAACACTCTCTTTATCCTGAAAATCAGATGGCCGAGAATGAGATGCTAGAAAGTTGAAATAAAAACACGTAAGAACCCATCGACATGAACATGCCTGAATGTCCAAAGTTGTGAAATTGACAAGACTGTAATCTTCAATCACCTCGCACAATTCCTTCGTGAGTTTTCTACATGAGAGTGACAAAATGAGGTAACATAACTTCTATAAAATCTGAAATCTGATTATCACACGGGTCACGATAAGAATCAAGTCAGACGAGAACTCTCTTTATCTCCGAGTGTTTAACTAAAAACCAATGAAAGAAGGGATTTCGGACATGGTTTAGAAACGAAGCACCATTACAAAAATTAGAAATGCAAATAATATAGCTTTAACAACTTAAAATGATTACTTTAGGTAAAAACAATAAAATAGCTAATTAACAAATTTCAATTAATCTTAGCAACAAGTGAAACCCATCTCATTCTACACTTCTGATGAACTACAAGGTAACATGGGATATATAGGCTGACAGGAACTAAAATACTCGAATATAGATCTAGCATTAAGAAAACAAATCAATAAAATGAAAGAACAAATTGCAAAGGACAATGGATACAAAAGGAGTTGGTCATCACTCATACCTATACCTAGCAGACCGGGGATCCTGCTCAAGAAGATGCTGTAAATAAGACAAATCCTGCACATCGGTGTAGAAGTCAAGGTTGAAAGCTGCAAAACAAGACAGGTACAAACTTAAAGATGACGGCATCAAAATAGAAGATTAAAACACCAGAGTCCTTGCGTACAGTCAGACACATGCACATGCGCATACACACACACACACAGACATATTCACACATTTATATGCCATTAATATCGACGTAAAACAGTTCTAACCTAGCTTTCCGTAGCTTTCAATCAGATCAATCTTAGACAAAACATTGACATGAGGAAGCTCCATATGTAGCATGGTTGACAATGATAAAAGCAAGGCACTAACGTACTTTCCGGGATCGTTGCAGAGATGAGCATCAATTAAGTGTACAGCAGTCAACTGCAAAAAAGGAGGATATCATGAAAGCTTGTTCGATTACCTTTTAGGGCTCACATCACATGCACAAAAATAAATAATAAACTTTCTGCACCTGAAATCACAATTGAGTAATTGACAAAATCAAAATATCAAATACACATAAATATAGAATTACATTTCTAAGAGCATATTATTAGTTTTGAACAATATAACTATATATTATCTAAGCATGTATATACAATGAAGTTGATTAAATGTATTTTGCCCCAACCCCAAATAAAAAATTTATATATATTTTTGGTTACCCGGAGATTAAAATTGTTTATTTGTTCCTATAAGCATATTTCTTAGATCAAATTATATGAAATGTGCTGACATTTCTAAAATGGGGGAGACAAGTTTTATGTCAAATAGAACTATCTTATACGATTTGAATCCAACAATGTTCAGCTGCAACAATAATTTTGGGTAAATAATGACAATAAGAAAAAAGTGTACCCTGAGATCTAACTTCTTTATAAGCTTCATGATAACTCTCTTTGCATTTTGATGAAGAAAAAACAGTTCCACTTGGCCAGGAAAATCAAAGAGAAGATAATGATCTGCAAAACAATTTTAGCATCCATTCGGTTTAAGAAAATCGATGGAAATAAACTCTCTCAATGTAGCTAAGATAGTGCAGCAACATATGAGAAATTGTTATGAAAAATAAATACTTAACTGTATGAAAAATGGCAAAGAGATGAAATCTTTGTCTAATCACTAACAAGACTTTCAATTGTCAAATTTCTCCATATATTAACAAAAACAAAAGACTTAAGGGTTTGTTTACTTTTAGTTCTTATTACAATTTGTTTACTATTCAATCTCTCAAATTTCCTTCAAAAAAGTAAGAGACATTCAAGAATTTATACTTTAATAGAAGAACAAGATCTAGGATTCAAAGTTACATATACGGGTTCGAATTTTAAATATCCTAATGCTAAGTTTCCAGCCTTATCTATGCTATGATTGTTGTCTAAATGCCCCGTCGAAAAGAAGACAATACACTCAGAAAATCATACAAGATCCTCATATGATAGTGTTCTTTTGTGTTTTCTAAGTTTTCGTTTTATAATTCAATCTTTATTTTTTCGTCCAAAAATATCACATCCAACCCCCATAGTCTATATAAGACACCACAGCAAACAACTATTGTCACCTCAAAAGCATCAAAGCCAAAATTACAGAACTAAATCAAAATTACAAAAGAACACACCCATTTTTCATTTATAAGATAGTATATCATAGGCCAAAATGAAAAGATAACTCCATTAGCTGAACAATCCACCAATATCAATTCCATTGCCAAAACTAAACATTTTGTATGCAATCACCATAAGCTAAGAGAGCCAGCTATCAACAGAGTACATCACTGTCAAGGTAAATGCGGTGATAAACATTGATAATTATCAAAGGCAGTACTCACCTTTCAGGAGAGGTTTTAGTTTGGATTCTAACCAATCAATATTCTTCTCCAAATAATCCATACAATAAATAAGTCCTGTGAAAATCTCTAAAATGTCAAAATCCCAAAACAAATCAAAAGGTATTTGTATACTAAGCACTATGGCAGTACATATACCTCCATTAGGACCAAGAGAGTGCTCAGCCATTACATCAGCAAGCTTAATTAATTCCTCAATGTTAATAGCGCAATCATATCTTTGATCATATAAGGAGGTAACCACTGGATATCCATACAACAAAATTACAATTGATTACAAAATCAGCCTAAAAAAGAACCAATGTAAAGGATACGGCAAAGCATCATTAGCGGGATCCAAGTTTATCACTGCAACCTTCCTGCAACCCATTATAAAACAATTATTTTTCCAATTAAACTGACAAAGTGTCTCACAATACAATTTTGAGCTCACAATCAAGAGTCGTAGAGAAAGTATATTTTCTGGCAACTATTCCAGAAACTTTCTAAAATATAACTATTCATAGACTTCAATCATTTCTATGTTACGGGGCTAATGATTCATATAAACTATCCCCAAGCATTAATAGATTATACAAACACTCAAACACCCTCTAAAGAGTTTATAAGATCTCAACCAGCCAGCAGAACAAGGATTCCTCTAACAGACCGCACCCAGAAATCACAAGTGAAACCAGCTAAATGAAGATACCAAACACAATAAGATACCTAAGTTGGCATCAACGAAACAAAGGAAAACACATTCATAAAGGATCGGAAAGGTACCGCCCAATAAGCTGGAGAAACTGAGACATGCCATTGCAATATGTGGTCTTTCCAGACCCCGGCGGTCCGATAACCACCTGACCAAACACCATTTCCAATTTGATTGCTTAGCTCGAAACTTCGATTACTTGATGTTCTTCTATCTCTTCCTGTTCACTGTTGATTATAGACCCAGAATCCTTCAATTGAGGAACCCCTAATCAGTTAAAGATCTGAACCCTGACCACACCAAGATGAATCGGCCTAAGGATTTAGAATTACTAAATTAGAGCGGTCACTATAACCTACCCAACCCATCGGTGGAAGCGGGGTAGGACTTTGGCCATCCGGTTCCGAAAACCTTCGAACCAGCGGCGCCATGAACCGGATTTTAACGGTTCGATTTTCGTTTCAGTTTTTTTCATCGGATTTTACTATGCTTCAACCCATAGCTCTATTTTTGCAGGGTTTACATTACATTTCTTCATTTTTGCAGAGTCTGCAACACTAATCCAACTATACCCTCTATTTTTGGAGGGTCTCTTATCCAATCATACCCTCCATTTGTTTAGGGGTTAAAGATCTCTTTATATTTTATTTTATATAATTTTTAAAATTACAAATAAAATTTAATATTTTATTATTTTTATACAATTTAACTTATAATAATATTTTTAATTAATATTTTAAATATTATATCAATAAATTATATTTATTAATATTTTAATATATATTTAAATTAAAGCACAAAAATTGATTAAAATATAAATTAAAAATATAAATATAGATTAAAAAAAAGCAATATTATTGAATTAAACATAATTAAGTACAAAATAACTAATAGGTAGAGTTATATTCTTCTCATATATGTTCAATTAAAGCATCGCCTAGTTCAAAATGAGTTTCTCTACTTCTAATTTGAACATATCGCTCAAAAATTGATGATAGCGTTCTTGATCCGTAGTCATTTCCACCGTTGCGATTGGCGCTTCCCGATATTGGAACATTAAGATTACGTTCTTCCCCTGTTATCATATTATGCATGATAATGCGCGCAAACATTATATCATGCAAAACATTTTTTCTGCCAAAAGCGACATGGTCCTTGATAATTCCCCAACGTGCTTGTAAAACTCCAAATGCGCGCTCTATATCTTTCCTGCATGATTCTTGTTTCTGGGCAAATAATTTTTTTTTCGGACCACGCGGATTGCTAATAATTTACACGAGAGTGGCCCATTTAGGATAGATTTCATCAGCTAAATAATAACTCATTTCATATTGCTTTCCTTGAATATAATAATGTGCGGGGGGTGCAACACCTAAAGTAAAATCTCTAAACAATGTTGATGAGTTTAAAACATTAATATCATTATTGGTTCCAGACAAACCAAAATATGTATGTCAAATCCAAATATCGTAATTTGCTACAGCTTCAAGGATTATTGATGGCTTTCCACTACGACCTGCATATTGGCCTGTCCAAGCAGCTGGACAATTTTTTCATTCCCAATGCATGCAATCCAAACTACCCAACATACCTGGAAAACCACGACTTTTACCGATATGGAGCAATCTTTGAATATCATTTTCATTGGGAGCTCTGAGATAATATTCTGAAAATATCTCAACGACTGCACGGCAAAATCTTTTCACACATTCAATAGTGGTTGATTCGTAGATTTTGACGTACTCGTCGGTGGAATCTGCGAGTGTACCATTAGCTAGCACCCGAAATACTGCTGTTGCTTTTTGAAAAGAAGATAATCCAAGTCTTCCCAAACCATCCCGTCTTTGCATGAAATACGAGTCATGATCCTTCACTGCATCAACAATCCGAATAAACAAATTTCGAGACATTCGAAAACGTCTTCGAAATGTTGACTCATCATACAATGGGTGGTTAGATGTAAAATAATCATTAAATAATCTTAAATTTGTTTCCTCGCGATCACGATTGACAACCCGATGACCTAAAACGGAACCACCATGGATTGGTCATGGTATGTCAAAACGTCGTTGAAAAATATCATTGTTGCGTATCGAGCCCTCCATTGTTGCTTCACCTGTACCAATGGAATGCATGACTGAAAATTGTTGCGGATCATCTTCTTCTTCGGACGATGAACTATAAAATGAAACACCACCAACACTAAAATTCATATTTCTCCTAAAGTGATATGAATTTAGAAATGAGTAAGTTGAATATTTTTGCATGTCTACCCATCAATTTATAGGCAATGTAATGTTTTAAGCAACCACCAACTACTTAATTCAATAACGTTGTATCTAACATCCAACCACGAACTATATCATTTATTAAAATTATATTTTATCTAACACTCAATATCCAACATCCAACAATCAACTATATCATTTATTAAAATTATATTCTATATCATTTATTAAAATCATATTTCTATCTAACACTCAATATCCAACAAAAAATTATATTTCTATATCATTTATTAAAATTAGATTCATCTAAAACTCAATATCCAAAATCCAACAGTAAACTATATCATTTATTAAAATTATATTTCATCTAACACTCAATATTCAACATAAAATTATATTTCTATATCATTTATTAAAATTATATTTCATCTAACACTCAATATTCAACATAAAATTATATTTCTATATCATTTATTAAAATTATATCATTTACTAACATTACATTCAATTTAATAACCAACATTCAACTTCCACCTACATCAATTTATTATCATTTCATTTACTCTAACATTCAACATCCAACTTCCATCCACTTCATTAATTTTACAACATAAATACTCTTACAAATTTCTCCTATAAATAGTAGCCATAATCATTTACAATCACCATAGTTTCATTATATTTTCTTTTTATCCTTCTTGCTTTCATTTTCACATTGCATAACTATAAAAATCATGTCTAAGCGATCTATTGCATATAGCGACGAGAAAGATAAGTTGTTGTGTGAGATTTTTTCGGAGCATACTCAAGATGCAATTACGGGTCGAGGTCAATCCAAGGAAGCTTTTTGGAAACGGATTGTTGAAACATTCAACGATCAAAATAAGAAGGATAGTCAGTCTGAGGTTGCCTACTCACATACGTTGAAGTCATTGGAAAGTCGATTTTCATTGATCCAAAACCATTGTAGGTTATTTCTTAGTTGTATTAAATATACGGAGGATTTGAAGAAAAGTAGAGCATCTGAAATCGACACGGTAAATACATAAATACAGTTATTTGTATGTAGTGCTTTTATAGAAAAATATTGTATGTAATATTTATTATTTCGTACAGATGATGATGGCAAGAGACATGTTCAAGAAACATCCATCGGGGTCTAAAAGAGGATTTCAGTTTGATCACGTTTTTGAAATTATGAGTAATTTAGAAAAGTTTAAAGACCATAACGAACCTAGAAATTTACATAAAAGTTCTCGGCAAAATTTTGCAGGTCACATGTCATTGTCGCAGGAGAACGCTACATTTGAATCTCCTAAACTTTTGGCATTTACTATGAATTTATCTGATGAAAATGTTGAAGGTGAATCATTTCGTTTCAATGACAAGTTTGGCGACTCTTCTCACTTATAAAAAATAAAAGAACCCTAAACACTCAAGTGTTAGTCGATATAAAAAAATTCCCTCAAAGAAAATATACATTCATTCCATCTGTTAAAATTATATAAGTTTGGTTGGACAGAAAAACTAAGAAAATAACGATATTTTAATTTTAAAATGAATTAGATAATAAAGTAAAATGAAATTGTGAGAGTATTATAAAAAATTTATTAAAAATTTGATAAAAAATAATAAGATACATGGAAAAAATAGTTGTAAATTAGTTGTGAAGTAATTGTAACAAAATTATGGATGGATAAAATTATTTACTATAAATATATAGTCCATAATTTTAGCGGACAACCAAAAAAATAAATAGTTATATAATTATGGGTGACGGATAGAGTAATTTTTATTTCCCCAACCAAAAAACACCATTTTCCTCCCAAATTCTCTTGTAAATACAATATTTGATACAATTAGATGCAGTAAAATATTTTTTTTGAAATATTTTAAATATCCAATCTAGATTTGAGATCTGTTTTACTCTTATTTTGATAATTAATATAATGTAATTTTTGAATTTTTGTAAAATATTATCGCATGGTATCAGAGCATTAGGTCTTAAATTCGAGTCTCATCGTTCCCCATTTATCGTCGTTCACGTGCAAGTTTTGTAGCGTTTATACCCGAGCACGTGAGGGGGCATATTGGCATATTGGTTTACTCACGTTTGTAAATAAATAAACAAATGATGCGTATCTCTAATTGTTTAAACTTTTTAGTTAAAACTTTTAAATGGGGTGATTAATATACTAACCCGTGTTTCTTCAAGTACATTCAACATAAATGTATTCGGAGATCTCCAAAATTTGAGAGTGTCTCTAGTTGTTAGTCTTTATGTTTAGAGTATTAGTTTCCATTTGCATTTGAACTTGAGAGTACTATTTGCGTATATATCTGTGATCCATATGTCATGTTTCTCTAGAGCTATATATCCGACTGCACTGAGAGTCTCATTGTTTCTGACTCTGTTATGAGTCATGTTGTTTTCGACTCTGTGGAGAGTTCCGCCGTTTTCGGCTCCGGTGAGAGTTCTATCGTTTTTTACTCATTTGAAAGTCTTGTTGATTTTGACTCTAATTCAGTTGAAAACATTATTTCTGGTTTTGACACGGTGGAGCGGCGGAAGCAACGACGGACAAGCAACTGTTATATTCGTTTTCGTTTGAAATATTTTAAATATTTAGTTTAGATTTAAATTTGGTATTATTTATTGATTACGTTCTTTAGGTTGCTTAGATTTGAATTTATGACTTTATTTTATGGTGATATATAGGCTCTTATTAAATCGGTCAATATAACGCAATTTTTAGTTTTTGTAAATTATTCTCACCATTCTCACCTCCACATAATTACATTCACAAACCAAACAACTTTTTATGAATTAAAATCATCAACCATAAGAGTACCTAGCGAACTCATATGATGGAGAATCACGGAAGGTGAAAATAACATCACCTTCTTCATAGAATTCCGGTAAGTCGCGGTAAGGCGAAAAAGTCATCTTGATTCTAGCCAGTTTCCTCGAGACAAAGCCCCGGAAAAGAAATCGAGGGTGAAGGACTTCGGCGCCATTAAGTTCAAGTTCGAACTTCAAACTTAGAAATCATGTAGAGTGATTTATATCTTTGTTAAAATATATCCATTTTTTATTGTCTTTTAAATTTATGCGATGTTTATTTATAATAAAATACTGGAAAAAAAATAAAAAATAGCTCGATTGAAATCATAAGCAATTAATTTTTTTAGTTTTAATATAAACAGTTCATTAATTTTAGATACCAATATAAATAATTTTAATTACTTTTAAGAACTAATTGAACACGGTGTTAACTTAGAAATTGTAAAAGAACATGGCGTCGTCTAAGAGTGTCCATTCCAAGTTGAGGTTTTGAATTGAACGCCGGAAGGGAAGAATTTCACACTCAACACGAAGTTTCCGTAGCTTATTAATTTCGGCATAGAATCATCCCCGCGAGAAATTGGACGCCTCACCGGAAATTTCGGTCGCCGCCGATCGGAATAATCTAATTTTCCGAGTTGCTGCTTTTGGAATAAGGTTTCCGGTGTAGTTCATGCATCCGTCGGCCAGTGACGAAACTAGCATCTAAATCCCGATGACAAAATGTTATAATTTATTTAATATTTAACTAATAAATTTAAATAAAAGATAATGACAAAAGTATATATGAATTTAGCTAGTTATGTCCTGCCGTCGGATGATGCCTCAGCTGTTGGCGATGGATTGGAAGAGCACCATGCCTGAAGAATTCAGGGGAACAATTCCATTGGTGGCGTCGAGAATGACGATGGAGTGGAGCAACGCCGGAAAGCTGGTCCTTTTGTACTTGGTTAGAATTTTGTCGAGGATTTTGCATTATTTTTAAAAACGGAATTAAAAGTGATTGAAATTATTTATATAGATACTAAAATTAATACAAATTTTATATATTCAAATCAAAATGAATTGTTTATGGTTTCAATAAGACTATTTTTAATATTTACGTCCGACATTATTTGTCGTTATTTTTTAATTTCGTTGGTCCTACATAATTTGTCATTTTTTTAAAAAAAATATAATTATATACTTTAAAACACATTTTAAATTTTAAATTATATAATTTTTTTTTAACTTTAGTTAAACTATTTATGTTAATTATTTTTACTAATACCGCCGTCTTAGTAATACACTCATGTTAAGCGGGACGGAGGGAGTATTTTGTTTAAAGAAAATACTTTATTGATTCTAATTTATTATTTATATTTTAATGAATAATAACATTTTCATCATTATTTTTTTGTGATATTTTTAATAACTTTTCTATAATAACTCAATTTTTATTTATTTATTTATTTTACTTGTACATTTAATTTTAAAACACCATTATTTTTTAATTTCTATGCTTGACTTCGAGTAAGTTTTCTGTGAGGAGGAAATTATACTAATAATTCTTATTATAAGAAATTATTAAATAAAATGATTGAATTATATGAAAGCTTGTGTATGGCCATGAAGACGCGCAGAGCATTTCCCACCACAACAATACAATACAATACGTCCCCAAAATCCAACCACCACTTTTCATTAGCCACAACCCCCAAATCCAATCATTCAAATCATTTTCCCCGAATCAAACAAACCCTAATTTGGCTTTCCAGTTAACAATCAGTCAATCACCATGGTCAAGTTCAAGTTCAAGTTCCTCAACCTTATCCACTACTGCACCATTCTTCTTCTCAAAATGGCCGTATTCTCGTCGTCACTCGCCCTATCCCATCACCTGCACCCAGTGGTGTTGATCCCCGGCAACGGCGGGAACCAGCTGGAAGCCAGGCTTACCCGAGAGTACAATCCGTCAAGCCTGTGGTGCAACGGCTGGTACCCCTTCCCCTGGAACAAGGACCGAGACGGCTGGTTCCGACTGTGGTTCGACCCGGGCGTGCTGCTCCGACCCTTGACGAAATGCTTCGCGGAGAGGATGACTCTGTACTATGACCCGCAGCTGCGGGATTACTATAATGCCCCCGGCGTCGATACCAGAGTCCCTGGCTTTGGCTCCATTGACTCCCTCCTTTATCTCGACCCTAATCTAAAGTATGATCTTCTATTCTCTCATCCTCTTCTTTTCTTTTTAAATTATTTATTCGTCTCTTTTTTCCGTTTCTCTTTATATTTGTTGATGTTGCTGCTATGAATTTATCAATTTGATATTTAGAAAAGGAAAACTGATTTTCTTTTCCGTAGTCGAACCTCTTTTATAATTTTAGTCTCGTAATTAAAGTCTCTTGCATGTTGTAAATTAATCCCCTAAGTGAAATATTTTTTGCTATTCATATTTTTATTTTTTTAATGTTTTTAAAAAAATTTAATTTTCAATTTTTATTTGAAAATTTTAAATTTAAAAAAAAAAAGAAAAAATAAATAAATTAAAATTTTTAAAAGAAATTTTTTTATACAAATTTAAAGTCCACTTGTTTGTCAAATGTCGCTAATTTGGTAGACACATGTCATTCGACAAATCCTGCTGATGCCACGCCACGTAGGCATCTTAGGCGTAGGAGGACTAAAAGTACAAAAATTTCAATTATAAAACTAATTTACGATAGGCTCCAGCTACCGAACTAAAATAATAAACAAGTCCCGTTAATGAATTAAAATAATAAAGAGGCTAGATAGTAAACTAAAATGTTTACCTTTTAAAAAAAATAATACTCTTTTTATCCTTTAACAATATATTAATTTTTCTATTTTGTTTTGTTCTATAATAAAGTATTGATTTATATAATATTACAAATACCTTTTCAATTTACAATATATTACACAAATGTTATTACTTTTATATCATACCATACTAATATAGTTAAGTTTAATCTTTTTATTTTTATTTTTATTATATTTTAATATAGTATTAATATTTTTATAATTTTGTGCAAAAATCAAATAGATAGATAGATACGAGAATAATAGAACATTATGTCTTTGTTCATATTTTAATTTAATAAATTTATTAGAATAAACAAGCCTTTATTTACAGGCACATTACAGCTTACATGGAACCATTAGTGAGATCTCTCGAAGAAATAGGCTATGTAAGCGGAGAGAACCTCTTCGGCGCGCCGTACGACTTCCGGTACGGCCTGGCCGCACAAGGCCAGCCTTGCCGGGTCGCCGACGACTTCATTTCCGACCTCGAACGTCTCGTCGAATCCGCCGCCGCATCCAACGGCGGCCACCGGGTCATCCTCGTGACCCATAGCTTAGGCGGCTTGTTCGCCCTCCACATGCTCGACCGGACGGCGCCGTCGTGGCATAAAAAGCACATCAAGCACTTGATCACGCTGTCCGCCCCGTGGGGCGGCACCGTCGAACAAATGCTGACATTCGCATCCGGAAACGCGTTGGGCGTGCCACTAGTTGACCCGTTGTTAGTCCGGGCCGAGCAGCGGAGTTCCTCAAGCAACCTGTGGCTAATGCCGTCCCCCCGGGTGTTCGGAGGGACGACGACGACGATGACGCCGCTCGTCGTCACGCCCGAGACGTCGTACGCGGGTTCGGACATCGCGCGTTTCCTCGCCGACATTGGGTTCCCCGAAGGGGTCCAGCCTTACGAGGAGCGGATTCGGCCGTTGGTCGATAGGCCGTTGCCGGTGCCAGAGGAGGTCCCGGTGACGTGCATTGTCGGGAGCGGGGTGGATACGGCGGAGAAATTGGTGTACGGGGAAGCGGGGTTCGACGGGAGGCCGGAGGTCGTGTTCGGAGACGGCGACGGGACGGTAAACATGAAGAGCTTGCTGTGGCTGGAAGCGGAGGCGGCGGATCGCGGCGGCGGCGGAAATTGGACGGCGGTTAAGGTGGTTAAATTGGCGGGAGTTTCTCATACGTCTGTACTGAAGGACAGGGAAGCACTTGATCGGATAATTGAGGAAATTGGGGCCGTCAATTCGGAGATTTTGACACCCAATTTGGTGAAGTGGTCGTGAAATCAATTTTTATTACAACACTTCAAGGACTCCAATAGTATATTTTCTACTAAATACTTTTCAAGATAGATCACATGCTGAAAATATTAATTCAGGATGATGAATTTCAATCTTAACCCTTAATATTAATAATAATATTTGATTTTAATATTATTAATATAAAATTGAAGGTTATGATTTGCTTCAGCATATGCTGACTTGAAATACAAGTCCGCATATGATCCAAGCCCAATACTTTTTCCATTTTGTAAGATGACGCATTTGGTCAGCGATGCGATGTCTTATATAGTTACATACATAAATAAGTTATTAATAATTAGTTATAATATTATTTTTTATATGAATAATTTGTTGTTATTTTATATATTTTTAGCATTATATCTTAATAAAATATAAGTATGTATAAAATAAAATTTTATATACTTTTCGTCCGCCTCTAAAGATTATTTTTATATTTTGCGTTATTGTATTTAACATTAAAAATATTCTTATATTTGTATAATTTTTTCTACAAATTTCGTTTTTAATTAATATTATAAGACACTAATTGAAGTATTTTTACAAATTTTTATTAATTTGTAGTGCGTTTTGATATAATAATTTATAATAAAAAATCAACACACAAAAAATAAATTAGACTCTTAGAACGGCACGAGGTAGTATAATACAAATAAATAAAAATATATTTATTTATTTATAATTACTATAAATTAGGCTTTATTTTTTTATCCAAAATTTTTCAAAAATATTAATATATTACACATATTTATTATTTTTATATTATTTATAAAATTTCATATAAAAAAAAATAAAAAGTTTTAAAAATAGATAAAAATATTTGCTAATCGAAAAGAGATAAAAACAAATGAATTTTGAGTGGGTTAAGTGTAAGAAGTTAAAAATTTAATTAAATTGATTTATATTTGTTGCATATGTCATATTTGAATTGAAAAAAAATAAATTATTTATGACAATCCAAATTTTTTTTCCCCAATTAATATCAAATTAAACACATATTTTTCAATTTTTTTATATTATACTAAAAATAATTTTACATTAAACATTAAAAACATCATCGACGCCTATTTATATCGTATAACTATTCAAATTCAAAATTTTTCATATTCAAATTCCAACTCAAAATTCAAAAACTCCGAGCGAACGCACCCTAAAAAAGAACAAAAAGAAGAAAATTCAAACCAAAAAGACATCATCATTCCGCTCACCTACTACTGCTGCTGCGAAGCCCCTTTTCGAATCGGAGGTCAGTAGGATTTCGAGGTCCGACAAAATGACTTTCCAACAAACCAGCATGTCCTGGCTGGCTCGCTCAATTGCCAATACTCTCCGCCTCCAGGAGGATGATGAAGACCACCTGCAACTGCAAGAAGAGGACGAAAACACCGTGGAAGATCGGCGCCTAGATACCACACTCTCAGTCTCAGCCGCTCAAGATCTTCGCCTCTCGGATTGTGAAAGCGATTGCAGCGGAGATGAAGATGCTGGCGACGATTGCAATCAAGGACGTGGCGTGAAAGAGGATTTATCGGAATTCAGAGACAATCTAACGCGTCAGTTGTGGAGCGTCGCTTCCTTCCTTGCTCCTCCGCCCCCGCGACAGGGATCCGATTCGTTACGGCTGGAGGAATCTGAATCAGATCGATCCGTGTCGGAAACTGATGCGGACGAGAATGAGGAATTGGTGGACTACGACGCGAGATTAGCTTGTCAATTTGCGGAGCAAGGAAGTTTGTCGTCATCGGAGAATCATTACTCAGATATTGTGGAGGAAGCAGTTGGGATTACTGACGAAGTTTTGGCCTTTGCGAGGAACATTGCACACCATCCGGAGACCTGGTTGGATTTCCCGTTATCAGAAGAAGAGGATTTCGACGGTAAGAAATAACTGTGATTATAGCTTGAAATTATTTGAGTAAAAGATTGTGGAAATTTGCCAGTGTTTAAGTGTTTATTCAATCTGTTATCATGTAAATGTGGAAATGCAAAGCAAATTCTAACAGATCTGCTCTTTAAAATGTAAAAATTCTTATATGGTATCTGAAAATTTCTAGAAAGATCTGTACAGGATGTGCATATGTTCTTAAATGGTATCTGAAAATTTCTAAAAAGATTTGTACAGGATGTGCATATTGTTTAAAGAGGCCAAAGCTATGTTGGGGTGTTGTTGAATAATTAGAGCATTAGAATGAGGATACATTGTTTTCTTGGTCTTTTAGATAGTGTACTGTCATTAGGAGCAGTAGTGTCAGTTTCCTCCATGATTGTAGTTTATAGTGTGGACAACAGCTCAGAAGTTCATTCTTTGCATTGAAATAGTTTTTGATTTTGTAGTTGCAAAATGATAAATATGTACAATAAAGATGGTCAAAGCTAAATATCTGAGTCTTTTCCTGAAGAACAAAAGAATGCAGCATTATCTCAATTTGAAGGGACGATGGCGAAACATCTCCCTTTCCTCCCCCATGTAGGGCATGTTGCAGAATAAGTATATAATAGGAGTTTTTAGTTCATTTAAGTGTTTACTGGTTTTTTTCTTAGTGTCGTTTGGTATGCTAGCCGATATGGGGATTTAGGAAATGCTTAACATATTTATTATGGAAACTGATCTATTAATATATTTAGGCATTAGATATGATGATGTACGGAGTGAGCAGTGTACACACTATGAATATTTGGTTTTAATGATGTGGCTTAGAATGGTCCCTACGACCTTGTCTTGAAAGATTGATTTGCGGTTAATTTAGATGTGGCAGAATGAGCTATTATGTCTTGTAAGTCATGTGATGTTGAACGTATTGATAGAAGGAAGCTTATACTTAGTGAGTCAATCATCACATATAGAATGTGCAGAAACAAAACATTAATAGATATTTGATTTTCTTGATGTGGTTTGGAATTAATCTGGATTGTGGCATAGATTATGATACTCATGGAATATTGAACAAGCATATTATTGATAAGATTGAAACGGACTTCATTCACGGAGTTAGGCATCAACCATAGTAATATACCGAGATGAGTATTTGAGCATTAAGGAAGGTATACATGTTTTTATGCTCTTTTAAGTTTGTAAGATATACATGTTTTTATGATCAAAATTCTATTTCAAAGTTTTTTATCATATTTTTAAAATTGAAAGTATCTGTTGCGAAAAATTCCTCTCTGTATCCACACACGATGAACATTGATATGGATGAACAAAATTTAGGCACAACTAAGAGAAATATATACATTTATATATGGTAAAGTGTTAATGTAATCATTTTGGATATGTGGGTGCAAGTGTTACATATGATCTCATTACAGAAGTTCTGTATCCCGTATTGGTTTTTGAAAAGAAACAAGGAAGGTTAGTGTTACCCTAATTTGTGTAGTCATTCGTTATCATTGTGGAGTTTCCTTTTTGATGAAGTAGATAATGTTGATATTATGTCACTGTCACAACAATAAAGAAAAGCTTTCATTCTTGTGTTATTGTGTTTTGTTTGAGGCTGTGAATTAATATATTTTCACAGACGACTTTGCATTATCTCTGTTAAACCTATGGCTGAGGAGATCAACCTATGCTTAGAGTGAAATTGGTCCACTATATGGATTTTGATAGGCCTAAAGCAAACTGTTTACTTCTGGAAACATGGTTAAATTTTGAAATATCTCTTGCTTTCCAGAAGCTTTGAGAAAGGAGATTTTTTATTTTTTATTTTTTTTTTATGCCTGTTTGCTTCGTTCTCCAGATTTTGAGATATCAGATGCCCAACACAAGCATGCGTTAGCTGTTGAACATCTGTCAACAAGATTAGCTGCACTTCGAATTGAACTTTGCCCAGTTCATATGAGTGTGGGCTACTTTTGGATGGTCTATTTTCTGCTTCTATATTCAAGGTTAAACAAGCACGATGCTGATGCATTGTCTTTGCCGCAGGTTAGTAGTATTCCGTATTAAACCTTTGATATACATGCATTTAAGTTTGAGCATCAGTGCAATTATTGGAGCGTTGTATAGTGACACCGCAGCTGATTTTATTTAATTTTTTCAATTATTATTCAGCCTAATATAACCCCTTGATTGAACTCATTTTTCTAAGAACAAGCGCAAAGCATACACTTTAGCTACTGTACTACAAGGGTTATCTGTGTAATAACATACTCTGTTTCAGTCATTATTTGTCTTCGGAACAAATTATCAGTTATCGGTATAATTGCCAACATGTTTACGAAAATGGTGTTCCTGAATTTTCTGGTCTTGCAGACCTGTCCACATTTTTTGGGGACACTTGTATTATGGGCCTGAATTTGATCTGGCAATTTATTTAGGTTCACATAATCAAACATGTTTTGAGCACTCAGAATGTTTTACTTATTTATATGACAACCGGATGTTGTAATAATCCTAAAATATGAAGAGAAATATGTCGATTCTTATGGAGAAAGCATTGCAATTTTCTATCTAATGTCCGTTACTTCTATTGAGATCGAAGGTTGGTAAGCATTTCTGTAGTTATAGCATAACATGGAGATAGACACCTATCTTTTCGTCACTCTTTTTCATATAAGTTCTAATGACATTCCTTTGTCCTATTTAGTTTGCTGGTTTCTGATTAAAGAAAACACAAAATGAAAAGTACATCTTCAATGTGATGTTTTTGGGAGGGTAATAATAGTTTACTGTTGAGTTTGTGGTGAAAACACAACCAAAGATTCTTTCAATTATATTGTTGTTTTTGTGTGCAAAGACTTTTTGAATTATAGGTTGCATCGAAAGTGTAGACTTGATTGAGACTTGTTTTTCCTTCGGAACTAACAGCTTGTGAAAGCACGAGCCATGTGGATGCAAGCCCTGCAGAAGCAGACCAACGAGTTGTACGGCTTCGGAGTAAGTACTTCCCACTTAAAAGAAATCCCAAATTCGCCCCGGGAGAATGCTATGATACACTTCCATGGAGATGCTCAAATCGGGAATATGTCAGACCAGATATCTCCTGAATCTTTGAGGGATGAGATTGTGAAGCACCCTGTGAATGTAGTCGAATTTGTTGACAAGTCTGTCATCAGAGAAGATCTGGCGCCAATACTCCAGGACAAAGAGATGATCACAAGTTCATCCTTGGAACCACGGGTCAAGGAAGCTAATGATGACGACAATGATGATTGGCTGAAGGAAGATGCAGACTTAATCGGGTATTCCAGCCAATCAGTCATGGTAAGTGACGAAGACATATCATTTAGTGATCTGGAGGATGATTGCAATGCACCAGTGGAGCACAAAGTATTCCCGTCTTAAGTGAACATTACTGCCAGAAGCTCACAAGTTCTTGCAATGGATAGATCACTTTCCAGGCCTCTTTTTGGCATCCAAGGTACCTTAAATGCAATACTCGCTGCAATTAATTCTGCATTGTGATTGATCTGTTGAAAGTATTACAGGTTCGGCTGTTAAGGAGAAGTGACTTGAAGGTCGAGCCTCAACCCTGCTTGTAAGTTGAGGATTCTTTGTTCCCGGCTTTCTCTTATTGATTAGTACATGCAATTAAATTATTCATTTTGCTTCATATCGATGATCCATCTGTACATATGATTCGAAAATACTCATTCTTTAATTAGTTGAGCAGCATTGGCCCTGTGTTATGTAGCTGCAAATTCTTGAGCTGATAACGTCGATAGCATGAACTCGAGCATGTTTATGTATATGTGTTCCTTTTTATGAACATGTTCGACTTTCAAAATTTTACTTCATTTGTTGATGCTCTCGTCTATTTAGAGGTTCAGTGAATAGTGATAGATGATATTAATCATTGTAACCTTATTAACTATTCGTGTAATCGCTCCTCCAAACCCTTCACTAAAATCAACCTTCTTCCGCAGTTCGTAAGGGATAGCCCGGTGGTGTAGGGGTTGGACTTGTGATCGTGAGGTTATGAGTTCAAACTTCTGATGCCTCAGGTCACCTGCAACACATGGTTCGTTCGCCTAGTATGACTTGCGTGTCGGGCCTAGTTTGCAGGGTAAATAAAAAAACTAGTGTTTGGTTTGACATATTAGCTATTTAATGATTAAAAAAATGATGTGTTTAAATATTTTTAACATTATATTTCAATAAAATATACACAATATGAATAATATTTATATGTCAATAAAATATACTACTTCAGTTCGCCTTCTAAGGGTTTCATTTACTTTTTAACGCGTTGATATTTGAATATTAATTATTATATCAAAATGTAATAAAAATTACAAAAAAATTGCAAAAAATACTTCAATTAGTGTCTTATAATATTAATAGAAGAATATTTGTAAAACAATTATACAAATATAAAGATATTTTCAATATTAATGTTAAGTACAATGATGCAAAAGAATGAATATCATTTTGTAGAGAATTTTATTGTTTATATATAATACAAATAATATTTATCATCATCATAAATTATTTTTATAAAAAAAATGAAAAGTTTTAAAGGTAAATAAAAATATTTTGAGACGAAATATAAATAAAGGAGTTTTGAATGAATTCTTCTTTGTATTAATTATTTTTTGGAAAAGCGTGCCAAAAGAAGTTAGAGAAAGAAGAAAGTCTACGTTTGATCTCAAACTTATAACGTAGTACAGGATTCAAGTTTGAGTTAACTCTTCGACAAGGATTTAAATTGTAATAAAATTTTAATTGAAGAAATGGCATGAAGGAGAATGTAAGCATCAGCCGATTGACTACTCAATAATTTGTTGAAGAAGATATATAACTCGTTTTCTTTTAATTATTTATTATTAGTTTGAAACTCTATCTATCTCTCTCTCTATTATTTAGAACCTCTTTTTTTCGTGTCCATTTATTTCTAATAAATAAAACATTACCACACAAATTTTTTTCTGTATAATGCGGGGTCATGAGTCATCTCTTACGGGACTTGTTTGTCTGTATATTGTATGTTATCGGCTAACATAACACTATAAAAATAATAATATTTTTGTAACAATTTCTTTTTTAATTTATGAATTCACTTTTTTTTTTTTTTTTTTTTTAACTAATGACATTAAGGATGAATTAGGGACATAACTTATTAAATTTCATTTCTAAAGTTCATGTAGTTAACGTTATCCGTCTCTAAATTTTAGTGACAAATATGTTCTTTTTATGTGGTGTAATAACAATCCCTATTATATTTAGGGTGTGTTTATTTTGAATGATTAAGGTGAATAATATAATTTTATCCAACATATTCATAAACCCCAACCACCCCCAAATCCCGTCATTTTTGCAGTCCGGTACACTGTTACTCCATTTTTGGAGCAAGAATGTACACTCCACTCCAAAAATGGAGTGAAGTTTTTATGGTGTTTGTGTATTTTTGTTATTTTTTTTGGGTATATTGTGTAATTTTATTTTTTTAGAAAGTGATATATAATTTTATATTTTAAAAAATAATATTTAATTTTATTTTTTGGAAAATGATATAATTTTATTTTTTTAAAAAATAATGTATAATTTTATTTTATTTTTTAAAAGTGATATATAATTTTACTTTTTGAAAAGTGATATATAATTATATATATTTTTTAAAAATAATGTGTAATTATATATGTTTGGGTTATATTGTAAAAATAAATTAAAGATGGAGTGTAATTTATAAATATAAAAAGTTATATAAAATAATATAAAAGATAAATATATAGAGAATATATTTTTAGAGTGAAAATTGAAATTTATAGTTAGAATACAATTACGTAGATCAACTGCATTTTTACATTTTTACTGTAGCTACCGCAAAAAGGAAGTAATGGGTTAGAGATAGTCTTAATATTAATGTTATGAAGTATTTTAGGAAAAATGAATAATCTTATATAATAATTCATTAAACTAACAATTATATTATTTTATCATATAATTATATAATTCATTAAAATAATATTTTGTACTATAATCCTATTCCACAAAATAAATACTCTTTCAAACTCCGATTCCTACAGTTCAACTGCCACACATGGTTCACCTAACGTGATTTGCCTTGTCGGGCCTAATTTGCAAGGTATTAGGTTCCGGGGTATTACCCAGTGCGCATAACGGCTGCGAGTTTCTACATCGTAAAAAAATAAAAATAAAAAATATAAACACTCTTATAATATAAATATTGTACATTCTGAATTAGTTTACAATAAAGTACAAAGACACCATACATAAGCTTAATTGCTTAAACATGAAAAACACAATCCGAAAAAAAAAAGAAAAAAACATGAAAAACACAAGGATAGGGACGTGAATCACTTTATGTTCCTTTATATTTTGAATTAAATGCTTGTAATATGTTGGGATGTAAATCCAAATCTTATTAAAAGATTTAAAGAAATTTACATTTATAAATTAAACTTAAATTCCATTAGTATGAAACTTTGAAGGAAGTCCAAAAGCAAATATGTGCGGCTCAGCCCAAAGTTTGCGCAATCCCAACAACTGATATCAAAGTTTGATTCCAAAAGTTCGCTGATGGAGTGGACGAAGGCATTGGACATTGATTGTGTTTGTTAGAAGCCCTCTTTGACCTTGAAATTCGTTGGTGGATTGGACTAGATGGCGGCATCAAACATTGATTATGGTTGTTGGATGCTCTCGTTGACCTCGTGATAGGGGAATTTTGTGGTGTGTTTGGTAAAGAAAAATGAGATAAGATAAATAGAAATGACCAAATTTCTCTTGTTTGATTGAATCAAAGAATTGAGAGTTTGAGAAATAAATCATTTTCCATTCTTCGATTTCATTCTCATTCTTTGATTTCATTTTTAGAGAAATGTAGAGAATTGAATATTGATATAATATTTTTTTTTTATTTTTAAATTTTTTGTACTATTTCATTTTTATAATTTTTAAAACATTATATTATTTCAATTTACAAAATATCACATTTTATTTATTATTTAAATATTTAATTTTTACAATTTAAAAGAAATTAAACTAAAATTTGATTTTACAAAACATAGTATCTAATTTACTCCCTCCGTAATTTAAATTTATTATCACTTTCTTTTTTTTTTTGTTGTTATCCAAATTTATTCTCATTTCCTTTTTTTAGTAAAAAAAATACCACTATTCTTTACAAAAAAAAAAAAGGTAAAATTTTTTATTCTTACATATTTTTCTTAAAATCCGTACCCGGTCAAATAAGCACACAATTGGATGATGGGGGAGTATTATTTAAAGAAAAAATTACCATTTTTTTTTTTTTTTTTTTATAGATTTTCACTCGTTAAAACTCTCTATTGCTCGATTAATCATTTATTTATTTTATCGATCCATCCAGATAGCTGGAATTTTTACATTTCTAAATTCTCTGTATTATCAAAGAAAAATCTACACACTTCCTCTAACTGTTTTTACCATTTTTTTTTTGTACTCTCAAGAGTAAAAAATGTCAAAACTATTATTATTGTATAATATAAATAATTATATATTATGATTAATATAACTAAATAATTTAATTAAAATTAAAAAAATATATATAAATTATGAAATTTAAGATGTTGATTAAAGTGTAATAATTTTTCAAGAAAAAAATAAACAAATTATGTGAAACAGACGAAAATAGAAAAAAATAGATATTTTAGGTGGGACATAGAGTATTATTTTTTAGTCTACTATAAAAAAATAAATAAGTACATTAAATTGAGACAAATGGGGTATATATATATATATTTTATCTATTAATGATGCTGAGATTTAGAAAATCTCTTTGTTTACACAACAAAATTTGAAATTTCGGTATAATTTTTTTTTAAAAAAAAAATAATATCACGGCAAATAAATTTATTATTTCATAAAATATCAAATTAAATATTAATATTTTATTATTTATAAAATTTCAAAACTTCTAAAATTTCCAAAATTGTCTTATCTAACCAAATGTGTGGATATTTTGAGCAATAATTTATTAACAAGCAAATGATATTTTCAAGCAACACACATAATTGTGAGATTTGGAGATGCATGGGAAACTTTACTATTTAAACTGTCCTTTTCTTAAAAATATATATATATATATATTATTTTAATATCAAAATATTTCAAATTAAATCCAAAGAAGTATACTTTATACTTCTATAACCAATTTTTTATGATGAGAAAGAAAGTACAAAATTCCTTACAAATTTTACTGCAAAAATTGGAAAAAAATTGGTGAAATTCATAAATTTGAACGAACTCTTTACAAACGTTTTAATTCAAAACAAGATAAATTTTTAAAATATTTTTATTTTCTTATTTTGTAATTTAATAAAATATTTGTTTTTTCTTTTTTTTTTTTTGTCTATGAATTTACAATCATGTACAAAATCTACACAAATTACCAATCTCCAATACGAATTGTTGGGAAGTGATTGATCAAACAATACACATTCGAACACTTTAAATAACGCAAATTTCCGAAGTATGGTTAATTCACAATTATAGCAACACCTTGGCAAGTTAATAAAATGCATAACACAAAACAACAAATGAGACAGGTATTTGTTGACTCGGTTTGATAATAAATCAATCTACATTCAGGGGATTTCAATCTATGAAAGGTTCTACTAATCAATGCTGATTACATAACAATAAACAATCACAACTCATTCAACTTAAACTATTATTACGGCCTACTTTGAAAAATACATCTATAGGTTCATGTTGTTATAAATGCGTACCGGCAACAACTATATAGCAGAGCATCTCAGAGTCCGATCATCTTCTCCGATTTAAACACCTTTTTCGTCGATTTTTTACGAACTCTCCGACGAATTTTTGTGTCAAACACGCATTCAAACTGAGGAGAATCGAGATTGACAGAGGGTGATAGCCTCACACAATATTTCTTTGGTTTGTAAAATCTCACATTTTAATTTGCTTTTACATCGAAATAAGGTAGAGTGAGTTTTCATGAATCCTCGTGTAATTTGATATTTCTTCAAATATCCATTTTGTCTCTTGTAAATTTTTAAAGTATATGACAAATTGAATAAGGTTTAAACTCACATAACTGACTGCAGCACCATTGAAGTAGCTTATTTTCTGCATCAATTGTTTGTTTAAAAAAAAAAAAAAAAAAACTCGATGGAAGAACGAAATAACCTTTTTTACCATCTACCAAAATACTTCTTCAGTCCCGACTACGGTGTCAATTTTAC